CCGGTTTTCTCTAACAAGAAGAAGCAGCTTGCAGGTGGCTTGTCATGCTGGCATATGATGGGAAAACATGCTGGCTGCTTGCATGGTGCTTTGTACTGGCATGCCGTACTGCACAAATCAAGGGCTTGCATGTGGCTGACAATGAGAAGGGCCTGCTCTGAGCAATGCAGAATGGTCTGCAGCCAATGGTCGCCTCAAGACTGCCATTTCCAAGAATGCGGAGGGCAAGAAGGTATGGGAAGCTGCATCCAATGTGGCAAGGGGTGAAGGCAAGAATCATGCCAAAAGGCAATGTGCAATTTCATGGCTGCTGGACCCCACCTTTGGTGATGGCTGGCAGGAGGCAGTGCAGAAGATCCAGAACAGTCAGGAGTTTGTCAAGACAACCAAAGAAGAGTCCTACACCTCCCTTCTGAAGAGGTACTCTGCTGAAGAGATAGATGCTCTGGTGGAATGTGGTGACATAACAGAAAAGAAACATCCAAGGGCAAAGGATGTGACAATCTACATTGACAACCATGATGTGCACAAGAAGGAAACCAACTCAAAAAAAAGACAGCAATCCCAGGGAGTGAAGAAAGTGACTTCTGATGATCCAGATGCAATGGAGGACTGGCAGTCGACGTTCTTGAGGTACAATGTGGAAACTGGTGGCTTTAGCAATGACAAGAGCCAGGGCCAGAAGGCCCTGCCAGACAACAAGGAGAAGGATAAGGACAAGGACAAAATCCTGAAGGCCTTAGAGTCCATCGTGTGCGTTGCTGATGTCATCAACAATGCCAGCAAAATGAAGTCTGGCTTGGAGGGGCTGGCCACAAAGGTGGAGATTATGCAGGGCAAGGCCAAGTCTAGCAAGTATGGGTCCAAGACAGTGATCAAGGAGATTGGCTTGTGCAGGGAGAACATTGCAGGCCACATCAACACTTGCAAGAACTTGTACCTGCAGAAGGGCAACAAGGGAACCCACAAGCCTGGCCAGGAAAAGCTGTTGGAGATCTACAGCAAGGTGAAGGAGATTCAGGGGTGGGTGAGCCAGCAAGCCAAAGTGTTTGGGTGACTAGTTTGAAAGTGCAGCAACATGGAGGAGCAAAGGGTGAGCTTGCAGCTTTGTCCAGGGACAGAGCATGAATGTGCAATAGATTTGCAACAAATCACTTGCTCCCTCTGTGCAGCCAAGTGGAGCTACAGTTGCAAACCTGATGCAGTAATGCTGGGTGGCTTATGCAGTCATGTTGGGACAGTCATGCTGCCATGTTGGGTGGCCTTGTGCAATCATGCTGGGTGAATTTGCAGCCACCTGTTGGTGGTGGCCTTTGTGCGCCATGTGTTTCTGGACAGCTGCACTTATGTTTCATCACCTTTGCATTTGGCATGAATGACTTTGCAGTCATGAGTGGCTTTGCAGCCATGGGTGGCTTTGCAGTCATGGGTGGCTTCGCAGTCATGGGTGGCTTTGCAGCCATAGGTGACCTTGCAGTCATTCTTTGTTGGCTGGGCTGTAAGTGTGGTGATTTGTAGGTGGCTGTTCACTCATGCTGGGAGGCTTTTCTAGTGGCTTTGCAGCCATTGGGTTGACTTTGCAGTCAGTTTCAAGTGGCTTTGCAGCCACTCTCAGTGGGCTTTGCAGCCATTTTCAAGATTGCAGTTGCAACTTTGCAGCCATTTGTAGCATTGCACCAGCACTACAACAGACATACATGTATTTGTCAGACTGGTAGGACCTGTGCATGCTTCAGTTGCAAAACCCCATATGTTTTATGCATTTCCATTGTTCTGGCAGCTGCTGGCAGGTTGCAATGGGAAAGAGGAAACATGCAGACTTGGCTGCTGCTGCTATTGGGTGGGCCCAGTCCTTGTCCCCACTGGCCCATTGCTTGCTGACCAAATGGGCCTGGGGCAAGATATCAGCAGTTGATGTTCAGGCTATTGCTCACTCTGCCAGGCTGTCAGGGTGCCTGCAAGATGACATCCATGGGCTGGCTTTGCTTGGCAACTACGGAATGGCTTCAAACAATTGTCATAGAGATTTGCTCCAGAAGGTCTCCTCCAGCCTTGCCCCAACAAGTGTGCCACTCAAGTGCCCTAGGTTGGACCCCAAGGCTGTGGGGCTGCACCATGATCAGGGGGAAGTTCCTGTGAAGCTGCCATGCATGTGGATGCACCACCTGTCCTCAAGCTCTGCATCAAATCTTGTTTTCGAAAGCATCTTTGGCACCAGCAACCTGGAGAACTTTTGGGAAGCAATGCCCATGGAAGACAAAAGGCTGAAGGGCCACCCCATGCTGAAGAAACACAACTGGAAGAGAAGGTGCATTCCTTTGCGAGTTTCAGTCCACTGACAGCCTGATGACTGTGAGTTTCAGGGGCCTGCTGAGCTCTGAGCCCGGCATGGAAGAGCATTTGTGGATCTTTTCCTACCCCAAGAGCTGCACTGCCCATGGGGAAAATGGTACAGAACACACATTGTATTCATGGGTGGCATGGAGCTTGAAAGCCCTTCTGGAGAACAAATGGCCTGACACAGATCCTTTTGGATATGAACTCCAGCCCCCCCACCCACTTTTTCCACGTGTTGGGAAGGTTTGGCTTCATGGGTGACATGGAATTTTTCCAAAATGGCTTGGGCATGAGGCACCAGGGCAGCAACACCCCTTGCTACCTTTGTGGTGCCAACAGGGATCCAAAGGACAAGCCTTGGAATGATTTTGTCAGCAATGCCATGTGGAGAACTTCAAGAAGTCTCAGGCAGAGAAACCCAGCACACCCTATTTTCAAAGCCCCTGGTGTGTCCATCTACACCTTGTGCCTCGACATCCTCCATGTGCTGGACTTGGGCTTCAGCAGCCATTGCATTGGCAATGTTTGCTTTGACTTTGTTGTTTGCAAGGTTCCAGCTGCACAAAGGCAGCTTGCCCTGAAAAAACTTTGGGCCTACATACAAGAACACCAAGGAGAAGCTGGCCATGGCAAGCCACTGTCCAAGTTTACCCTGAACAACTTTACCAAACCCAAGGCACTGAGTACCACCTACCCTTGCCTGGCACACCTGAAGGCTGCCCAGGACCCTTGGCATCATAAAGGGTCTTTGTTTCCACCAAGTTTGCGGAACTCTTGTGTCAAAGTTGGCTCTAAGGTGAGGACTTTGGTGCCAGTGTTTTCCAAGCTCTGCAGAGACTGGTGTGATGGAAGCACTTACTCCTTGAAAAGGAAGGACCTCCTGGCACACTTGGACATGTACTACAACCATGTGTATGACTCTGGCCTGGTTCCTGAGAAACAAGAAGCAAGGGCAGCCTTGGGTCACATGGAAGCTGCTTTGCAAACATACCAGTTCCTGGCTGCAAAAGCAGTGAAAGAAAAAACCTGCCAATGGTCAATGGTTCCAAAATTGCATTACTGCAATGAGCTAGCCATTCAAGGCTTGACTCTGAACCCTCGCTATGTGTGGTGTTATGGAAGTGAAGATTTTGTTGGAAGGCTGTCTGAGCTTGGCTCCAGCTGCCTGAGGGGGGTGTCAACTTGCGACATGCCATTTTTGCTGTCAGAGAAACTTGATGTAGCAATGACTTTGCAGCTGGGCCAATCTGCCTAAGGAAAAAAGTGCTTTTGCCAGCAGCTCTTGTCTGGGGCCAGGAGTGGTTAATTGTGATGTGGGGCTGGGGGGTGCGAAGTTGTGGCAATCCTAAATTTAAGGTTCGTGGTGAGGAGGGCATTTGCCAACAGCTTTCAGGTGGGGCTGGGGGTGGTGGGAAGGTGGGGCATAACTGCAAAGTCATGTTCTCTGGGGGTGGTGGGAGGGTGGGAAATGACTGCAAAGTCATAAATGTGACTGCAAAGTCAGAAGGTTCCTAATTGCAAAGTCAAAGCAATTTAGGAAGGAAACCTTCAAAATAGCTAGTTGCTAGGGAAGGTCAAATATTGATATTTTTGACAAACCAATCTTGCAATATTGATATTACACCACTTACCAATCCACGATGGGAAATACCAATCTCGATTGGTTTTTTCCATCTCGCGCGAAACAAACCAATACCGGAGACTTAGGGAACGTCCAAGATTCCGGCCTGGCCGAGAACCCATTCATCGGTCACCACATGAGGTCCGTCCTCAGTGATTCCCGCCATGATACCTACAGAAACCTACGGTACCTGCAGGGTTGTTATTAAAAAGGGGTTCGCGGTGCCAACCGAGGACGAATCCTACGGCTGATAACCTGCGAAAGGGTTTGAAACAGTATTTCGGGAGAGAATAAACAGGCCCAATCCCACCAACAAGAAGAGACTGTTTAAACCCCCCAGTCCCAAGGGCAAAGTGGTGCCCTCGGCTGGCCAAACACGAACCAAAACAGGGTGCCAGTTGTAACAAGGTAAAGAAGCCCAGCAAGGGCAGAGACAACCGAAAGCAAGCACAAAGCAGCAAACCAAGCAGGCAAACAATGCAGCGAAGCAAGCAAAGCAAACCAGTGCGCACCAACCCCAACCAATACCCCCGACCAACCTCCGCCAAGGACACCACCACAGGCGCACGGCAACAGCACAACGTGCTGATGAAGTACACCACGTGCCGCGATGTTTTGGCGCCGAAATTGCGGGTGCGAGTCGACGGGTTGAAAAGCTTGAGCCAAATGCCGCGTTGGGCATTGGCATGAAATTAAACATGTTGCGATAAAAGTACATGCCCCCAAAAACACTAAATATTTGTGTCCAACAATGATATTTGTGCCAAAATAGTTCTCAACAGGCTGTCTTCTGTGTAGCTTGAAGCTAGCTCATTTTCCAGGTCTGGATGCATCTGAGTCTTCATTGGATCGAAAATGAATCTGTGCTTGCATGTCATCAGCCAAAAAAGACAAAAAACAAAACGCACCCCAATAAATCTAAGAGGCCACGGGTCTTGATCTTATATTTTTGGTATTTGTTAGTGTTTTTGATTTAAAAAAAAAACTCAGCCCCCAGGAATCTTAAAAACTCTGCTTCTTCCGGCCCTTTGGTCCAAGGCGCCGGGCCATTGGAGGCCAAGTTTAAGTAGGTCCGGGCCGAGAGGCCCTCCACGCTGGAGATGGAGTTGTTGCCGAGGTCCAGCATCTGGAGGCTCTTGCTCAGTTCCTTAGCAAAAGGAGTTGCAACATCAACAGAGACACAGACACACACACACACAAACAGACACACAGACACAAACACTTAAAGGCAAATCATAGCCGACACATTTGAGGAGTGCAGACATGCGAAAACCCAACAATGGAAGCAGCAGAAACGTGACACGGAAAAACACAACGACGGGTCATAGGGTCCATCATCAAATCGGGGAGTTTGCAGGGCCGTGCAAGCTGGCCAAGCTCGCATATCACCAGATCAAGAGGGCGTCTTCGTTGGTAGCGGCCCAAGAGATCTGCCCCCTGCGTCTTGGTAGAAAGTCAGAAGGTTGAATTAGCGGCGTGATCCAGCACCGTGCACACACACACACACGGAGAAAACCTCGTGAAACGGCGTCCAGCAGAATCAGTTGGAGTGTGCTCGACAAAATCATCCAGTTGCATTTACGGGATCGTTCCCTAGAGCCTTGAAACTTTGAGGTTGGCCCCATACTTGAGGGGAAGCTTAGGTTCTGTCCGAAATCGATTTTCCCCGAACAATCCCTCTGAAGCTCACTTGCAAGAACACTTTGGCCCTCATCCTAGTGGTTCCTTTAGGGTTTCATGGGGCCAATACTCTTTGCCGAGGGGACTGCTGAGGCTCGTATGCACTGTGTTAGTGCAGCAGATCGAAGGTGTGTTCTATGTTTCAAACCGGGACAGGTCCCCGGCCTCACTTGAGCAACAGCAACCCCAAAGTTCGAAACCATTTCGGTCTGGTCGACTCGCAGGCAACCGAGCTGACTGGGAAGATACCAAACAGAAAAAAAGGAGAGAAATATGTTTCTTCATTGATTTATTGTTGACTTCAAATTAAGGAGGCAAGCACTAATCAGGGGCGCGAAACCCTGTTTCAGCGAGGAGTCGATTCACAGGCGGATTCCTTTCATCTCCGGAAAAAAGGGGTCACATATGGAAAGCGGATCGCAAACTTGCTGGGAGAAAAAGGAGAAGTTCAAGCGCACGCCCGGGGCTCGCTCGTCCATCCGAACACGAAGCGGAAGAAGCTGAACTGCGGCGCCACGGGTGATGGTGTTCAGAATCCGAATTGGGTCTCTTACCATCGCTGGTGTCCTGCTCCATCAAACAGGGGATCCGCCATTTTGAGAAACTCCCATTCCTTGCGGTTCCTCTGAGATTCTTTGTGTTTGCGCTGCTCCAAAAAGTATGCAACAAAATCAAAAGGCATCAAGCCGAAATACATTAGGTCATTGCCTGCCCTGAAGTATTGGCCTACTACGTGTACAGAAGGGCCTCACCTCAGTGTTTTCCTGCGACCTGAAGGGCTTAGGACCAAACCACTGGCACCTCGAAATCAGCTTTCCATGTCGGTTCAGGTTTTGAAGAAGCTCATGAACCCTGCCAAAGATTCCTGACAGGCCGTGTGCTGCCTAATAATACCGCATATTCCGGACAGCGTGAGATCGTACAACTGGCCAGAAGCAAACTGAGGCTTCGTCTTAGGACATGCTTGGGCCACACAGTGGGGCCATCCCGCACAATATTGATGGGAGGTTCCATTCATTTTAACCGGTGCCGATTACACGCAATCCCAACATGGCTCGTTTTTGTCGCTGCCTCCGCCTTCTCTATGTGCCCCATGTCGGGCAGCTCGCCGCTCAAGTTGCACCCGGCCGCACCAATGCGCCCCACCTGTTGGGAAGCTCTGGGGCTGGGAAATCGGAGCTTGTCGGTGGGCATGGTTTGGGTGATTTCCCTTCCCCCAAGTCACCGTTCAGCAAACCCTTTGGTGGGGCCGGTAGTTTGGAGGTAGCGAGGGGCCCAGTGGCTCTGGGTGCCAAGCACGTCCAAACCTCCAATTCGGGGTTTGACTTGAAAATCTCGATCCTCCATTTCTCCAACACCTCCAAGGGATTTCAATTACAATGGATCCCGGCCCTGTCTTTCCGCTCCAAATTACCCAGGCAAGTGGGGAACTAGTTGTGTCCCCCAAGATCATGCGACTTTGTCGAACCCCATTTCACAATGGTATTGTAGTGATGATCCCCCAAGTCATCCCACCGGACATGTATAGAACCAAGCAGCATGGGCCAGAATGGCCAAGGGCTCCAAAAAGTCGCGCAGCAGGCCGTTCAAAGGGCACCGGGACACCTCGGCTGAACCACGCAAATAACGACAAAATCATCCATCCACCTTTGGTCGTTCGATGCTTCCTCATTTGTTGCTGGGCGCTGGCCGGGCAGCGCGCCAGTCTTGAGATTCATGTTGTCACGAACCAAAAGAAGACAACGCGGAGGTGATCGAACTGTCTCAACGACTGCAGGAGAGACGGAGCCGGCTTAGTTCCCTTCCCTACCGAGGTCGGCTGTAGGGTCCCCCAAGCTGCTTCATTTTGGCCAGACACCAACACACACACACAGACTCACACAAACACAAAATCACAAAAACACAAGCACAAACACACAAACACAAGCACACAAACACACAAACACACAAACACGCAAAAACGCAAACACGCAAACACACACACACACACACACACACACACACACACACGTACGCACGCACGCACGCACGCACGCACGCACGCACGCACGCGCAAGCAAATGCGCACGCAAACGCAAACACAAACGCCGATGCAAACGCAAACGCAAACACCAACACAAACACAAACACAAGCACAAACGCAAACACAAACACAAACACAAACACAAACCGCACACAAACACAAACACAAACACAAACAGCAACACAAACACAGACACAGACACAGACACAAACACACACACAAACACAAACACAACCGCAAACAC